GTTAGCCCTCGTGCAGCTTTGCGCGAAATTCAAAAAACAAAAAAACAAGCTTCCCACTACACATGAATTATGATACGTTTCAGAGGTGTACGAGGCAAATTATATTTTTGTTTGGAAGGGAAAGGTTTATTTGACCAAACGAAGCATACTCATTACGGTCGGGCTTGCTTTAGGGTCCTTGGTTCTGGATTAAATATTATGCATTCTCTTGGTTTTCCTGAGAGTAACTTTCCTAATTGTGATGCATTTATACTGGGAGAAATTAAAAAGAGCCCCCCCCCCCGCTTCCAACGCAACTGCATTTCTAAAAGCTTCAAATTATTTTAAAACCTCAGATTATCTTTCATTTAAAGTCAGAAATTTAGTAAAACGGCATGTGTTTGTACTTTTTTTTTTTTTACTTTATTTGTGCAGTAAAGAGTATTGTTGGAAACCAAACTTATCGTACGTTGAGTAATTTTTCCCACAATAAGTAGGCTACTCGAAACAATATCCGACACCTTCAGGTTTAGAACTTTCTACTTTGAAGGAGACGCTAATAATCTGGTACCATGACACTAAGGATCACTGCAACGGAAGAATGACGAGAGCGGGAAGCGATATTAGCTTTTTTTGTGTGTGTGTGTGACTGAAATTGTGAATAGTGGTTCTAATTGCATTACTGTAAGGTAAAATTGCAAAACAAACAAAAGAAGGAAACTTCGCAGAATAAAACGACTGAAGACGTACTCATCTAGATTGTTTATCAAAGTCTGTACACTTCCTTAGATTAGAATGTGAAACAAGCACGCTACTCAGTGGTTGTTCAAGTAATAAACCGAATTGTATTTCATGACTTTTGTGTTATAGCAGGTATCTGTTTCGATTGTATGGTCCGTTTGTCAAAAAGTATAATATGCAATTGATTTACAAAAGCTGACAGAAGATTATGATGTGAACAACGTTCAATTTCAAACACAAAGATGTAAAATCCGATTTACATCTTGTAACTGTGCTCAACAAACAGAATTACCGAAGTCCTTGTCTTGCTCTTCAAACCAACCTGATTTGTTTTAGTACACTATCCCTGTACACTGGGTCAAGGAACATTTGTATACTAGACACGATCAGCAACAACAGATTCAAGTACACCTTGTGTGTTGTTCGTCCTTCTAAAAAATCGGAGAACCAATCCTTATCATATGGTCTTCTGGTCAAGCCAATTGATCTCTGAATCATTCTAACTCTTTCTTTATTAACGTTGTGTCTTTAGTGCATTGTACCTGAAACATTTATCATGCGGTTATTTATCACTAACTGCATATCTTTTAAATACCTCTAAGGTTTGGCTGAGCGTGGCCTAGTGATCGACATGCT